GTTATTCAGATCCGTACTTCCTAGGGGGGGGGGTTTATAATCAGAACCCGCCATTAATATGCGAGTATTGACCATCGCTCATATTCGTATACATATGTAATATCTCCTCCTGAGCCAGAGTGGGGAGCGAATCACAAGGATCACTGTGGCCACCCCTGTAAACACCCCTAAGCCTGTGCGGCAAGCCACCAGTGTAAGCCCGACCAGGGATGCAATGTGTATGATTCTCGATGTTTTGAATTATTTCTGGGTCCCTGCGATGATTTTGCAGATGCCAACTCTAATTTTGAGCAACCCTGATTTTTTCTCGCCGCAAGGTCCGCAAGCCCCTCGAACCTCCGCTCCTTAGAGCTCTACAGTGGAGCACTTGCAAGGCAAATCTTGGTCTTTCACAAACCATGGAGTCCCGGGTTCCGGGTGGCATTCCGGCAGGTGGGAATTAACTGGGATTTCGGCAGGCCTTAGCAAGGTGTTAGAAATGTAAGGCTGAGTGAGGCTTCTTTTGGGGCTCTGGGGGAAGCGTTCTGCTCGTTGCGCCGAACAAAAGTTGTACGTGCTTCTCCTGCTATCTCACTTGCTGCATGGGGTCCAAAGCACGCGCTGTCAGACTGTAAGATTCCCTCTACTCGCTTGGAGGCCCAGGATATATCTCTCCTACCGAGTGCTTGAACTTAAAATGCACTGCCCGCAAAAGTAGTAAGTAGTACTTTGGAAATTCACGCTTGAGCCGCATGTCTCATCATTGAGCAGGCAAATCTCCAGGTGGGGGATGGTGAATTCCCAACACAAAGAGTCAGTCTACAAGCCCCCTAGACCTATAACAGAAAAGAACGACCGCTTAGGGTTATACTATAATAAACACATCAAAAATGAATCCTAGGGAAAGCCTAAGGAAATAGGAGTCGAAACGAGAATGCGAGCCCCCGTGGAAGGTCCAAAGCTTTGTGAACTTGAAGGCCCAACTGGGTAGATATGGAAGCTCTGAACTCTTACAACCTTTTGTATTCTGATCAGAAGCCTAAGGCTCAATGCAGGCACTATTTAGACTTTGGGGCCCAATATAGGTATGTTTTTATAGTCTTAGAGCCCCAGGGTAATAATACCCTAACTTTCAAAACCCTTCCATGTAACCCGACCAGTGCTGGAGGGGAGCAGCCATACCGGGGACCGGCAATCGAACACTGAAGATGCCACCGGCGTATCCTGCAGGTAATCCCCTCCTCGAATAACACCTCCCCACTCCAGTATAGTACCATGATGTCATAGGGGAATATGCACCTGCATATACAGATACCTGTATACATGTGTGATATATGTATATATAATGCTCTTTCTCTCTCTCTCTCTCTCTCTCCCTCTCTCTCTCCGCAATTCGGGTTTCGAGGGTCTACGCCACTAATAGTGACCACCAGGCTCAGGGATGAGCAGGGTCCTACTCCTTCAGGTAACGCCGTGCCCTTTTCCTGGTTTTTCATTGGAGTTCGGTAAATGTCTATCAACAAATCAGAAAGACCTTTCAAGGCCCCTTCAAAAAAAAACACGATGGTAAGCTTGGCCACTTGGAGGGAGCACCTGTGGATAACATTGGATAACCACGTTGGCTCTTCGCGCAGGCCTACAACCTTCGAGAGAAGACCCCCGCCACCGGCAAAAGCTTTCCTAGACCCATTTCCAGCAACCCTCGACGCGCAAGCTTGGCTGTGCACCGCTTTGAAACCGATCATGCTGGAAACTGGCATGCCTGAGCCAAAGACGCAACTGTACCTGACGGACCCAGGACCTTGTATCATCAGTATCATCCAATTCTCAGTAGCGAAGGTGACCAGAATGCTCGCTGCATACCTTCATCATCCCTCCGACAATCTCCCGGTTTTTCCCCGTCTGGCACCTTCTGGCAAGGAGTCCCGTCGCTTCTTGGACACGCCTTAGCTCAGTACCATCCTATCCTGACAAATGGCTTACTCTCAAAATGTGGCAATTTTGCATACAGCGCTCGACATCATGAAGAACCTACACTGTAACGGCGGCAAAACGAGCATGGTGGCAACAGCCGGAATGCTTCCCACTCTTACTTCCTACAAATTGCAGATGCCCTCATTTTCGCAGAAACCCCACAGGACTATGAGGCCAACCCTCTTTGCTGGCTTACACGTTGAACCCCCTATAAAATCACATATTCTTCGCTCTCAATACAATTCTTGTGTTCTCCAACAAGGACACCAATGCTCATGCTTCTAGTATCGTTGTTTCCATTTTCTTTTCAATTCCTTGATTCCCTGCTAACCAGAGGTAAGCAGTAGCCTTTCCATCTTTTGTTAAAATTTTCCTGCAGGCAAGCATCGTTGATTGATGAAGCCCTTAGCACATCAGGATGCCAAAAAAAGGTCTAGGGTAGTCCAGGAGTTCAAGTTTTCGTGGGGTTTCCATGGATGGCAGGCCCCCATGTAGACCCCAAATCAAGTTCTCATCAAAGGGATCCGTGGGACGCCCAATTGTTGAAAACCATTTTTTTGACGGACTCCTGGATACCTGCAGAAGACAGGCTACCCTTGGGCGAGAGCAACTACCATGCGTAAGGGAACCAGTATACATAGATGTGTAGATGTACAGCTCCGCATGCACGTTCTTGTGCATGCTCAAAAGCCCGACCTGTAAGACACAACTTCCCTTGCACATGCGGGCATTTGAAGTCACATGATAATCCATCCGCGGTACAGTTGCATCCGTGATGTACCTTGGCCGATCTGCACACTTGGCTGGAAAACCATCAAGGATCTTGCCTTAGACCGCAAACAAATTCTACTGAACTTCTCCTGTAGGCGTAGGAGCTTCCCCTTTCAGCCTACAGCTTCATAACTTCAAGCCCCGGTACATGGTCTGCAGGTCTGCTCCACCGAAAGTCGCGCAGGTTGTGTAGCGCACTGGCACATTCACCTCCACTTCCGCAGCTGGACTAATGTTGCACAGGAAACTGTCTAGGGCTGTGCTTAGAGCTGCACAAAGCTTCCTGAAGCTATCCTGCAGCTGGCTCAGAATTGTTGAGGGCGAAATCAAGGATGAATTCAAGCTGAGGAATGCCATTCTGCACGCATTCTGCCATGCGTTGTTAAGCCTTGCCTGATGCAGACTTTTCTGAGGCTGTACGCTGGCTTCCCTAGCTGCATTCCCCTGCTCCATCCCCCCCAAGAAAAAAGTATGCACTACAAGTAAAACCTGCAAGCATGGCTGCATGCTGCTGTCCAACAACGCAATGAATAACAACAACAAAGGCATCTTCTCTTGCGGAAATGTTCACTATTCGGAAGATTCCAAACTCCACAGTTTCCCAAGGAGGGACGAGTCACGAGCATGCTAATGGATCCATCCGGCTTGTAGCGCACAACTCCTGGGCTATGACCGGTTTTGTGATCTTCCATGAAAATAATGGCAGTAAAGTGCGGCTGAAGGGTTTATTGCTGGGGCAAGACTTGAGGTTGCTGGGGAATGTAGAGGAATGGCTGCTATTCAGCTATCTGAAGTAGTATCTTTTTTGGGGACAAGGCTGCATGGAAGCAACCCGCTTGGGCATACGGCATGCGTACAACATATGTGGGGCCGGTTCTGAATTCCTTTGCCCAAAAATCGATCAACCGCCGTGCCTTTCGTGATCGGGTCGAGTGCACGATTGCGCACCGTAAACGTGTGATTCTAGTTATTATCTCCACTGTCGTTCGCAAAGCTTGCAGTCAATGACATACGACATACAAAAGCAGTGTACTTCTGCCCGGGCAGCTAGGGCCTCATCTCAAAAGACTTCATCAAGCCGTAGTTATGCTAGCACCATCGGTCACTCACCGCATCATGACCTGATGTGTTCTTTTGCATCTGGCCCTTTTGCAACACTTGCCCCGAAACTTGTTGTGCACTCACTGGAATGGAATACTGTTTTTGCCTAGCTCGAATGCAAACTCTACTTCGGGAACAGCCTGCCAACCACGCCTAAAAAGCATCTTGGCAACGCAAATGTTTTGCGTCTCGAAGACCGTTTGACGCGCTTCCACGATTGTTTCACGAGTCAAGAAACCAACCCTGGCAATCTGTGTGCTGAACTTGGCATATAACAACCAGCACAAGGGTTGAAGAACAACCCACCATTTTATTAGCCACACTCTCGCCCAATGCTTCTGACCAAAATTTGACAAATCCTAGTAAAGCCTCGTAAACAAGTATTTACTTAAGCAAATATGCAGATCCTCCTCAGAATGAACTGGCCACAATCTGATAATTCCAAAGCCTGAAATGAAGGCACCCTGTTGGGACGATTATCTTCTATATGGACACACGTTGCGGGTGAGGTATGGTGAAGTTGCGGCAATTTGCCCAGAGAGACTATTGGTTGCAAATCAGGTCCAGCAAGACTACCTCTGGAGCGTACAACTTGTGCCCGCTAGAGCACCTTTTGTGCTATGTCGGGGTACACAAAGGCAACCCAAGACACGGACACTTGCACAAGTTACCTTGAGCACCTGCGGATCATGAAAGGAACATCTTATGGATATTATTGATAAATAAAGGGTTCTTGGGAATACCTACCCAAACCATGTGGGAAGTACCTACTTTCGGAGCAGTGCTTTGTATGATTCAGGTACTTTGGACACGTCTTACTGGTTCCTGTACTGGTTCTTGGTAGGAATAAGGGAATGTAGACCCAATACAATCCCCATATATTCTATTCCCTGATTACCTACTAACCCCCAGAAAGGGACCCTTTGGGAAGCTTCTACATTAGATGGCAAAAATGTTGTATTATTAGGGGGGGGCTAGTGCAAGGACGATGCATTGCTTCATTCCTAAAGGTAAGTCTACATTTGTAATGATAGTCATCATAGTACTACAGTAAAATATATTAGTTAATAGCCATGATTCTAATAACGCAGCAATAAACTTGCAAGATACACTTGAGATTCTTGGAATTTTTTCAATGGCAATTATCATAAAAAGCACATTGAATGGCGAGTATCTGCCGCCGCCAAACTCCGCGTTCCAAAGGCAGCCTTCCGCATCGATAACCGAGCCTGGGCAACTCGTAATGTTCTGGAACCCTATCCAACCCCTATACCCCGCCATTCTTTAGATAATACATATGAAGTATTATAAAGTTAAGTACCCGTAAAAGGGGTAGGGTATAGGGGTCCAGGTATACTGGCCGAATTAGGCTCCATTCGTGGTCTGGGCGGGTGCAGTATGCAAAGCGTTTCATAATCGTGCCCTTTCATGCTGTCAATGCGACATGTACTTACCTGTGCGCTACTCGGGCGCCTTGCACTTCATCGTCGGACCTGTCAGTACGTGCGATGTTGATGCCATCTTGTTGCTTCTATTGTTGGGCTGTAAATTCGAAATACGGAGCCGGACCCCTGTTGGAAAATTAAGAAAACCATGTCCATTCATTGTTGGCATGTCACATAAACAGGATTCTGAACCAAACAGCTAGGAGCCATCCGGCCGTCCAGTGGCGTTCACGAAAACCTCGCTCGGCCCCGACATTCCTGCAGACTTGTCGGTATAACTATAGGGATTGTAAAGGTTCGTCAGCATGCCTTGCATCACCCCCCGTGATCCATGGTTTGGGAGGTCTCATCGGTTTTGGGGGTTCACAGGTTCAGCACCAGCGTGCACGAACGTAGCGGCAGGCATCTCTTCTGAGAGGCCCAGCTGAACAAGGTCATGTTCAAGTACCATTCTCAAAGCTGAAGCTTGCAAGTTGGGGAGCTCTGTCCTTGTTGTCGCATGTTACGGAGATTGTAATTGTTTGCGATCCCAAATACTTGGGAAAGCTTGGACGATAGAATGTTAAGGGAGTAAAGAGAGTTGTAGATAGTCTCTGCTACGCAGACGCTGGGACTACTATCGACTAGCGAAACCTGCCTCTGAAGCCTCACAAACATGAATACTTTAGTGTTTTCGAACCCTGCCCCTGTGCCGTTCAAGCAGCTTGTAGGGCTGCAGTATATGCTGCACATAGGGATATCCCAAGATTTGAAGCTCAAAGGGGTCGCCACTTTGCAAGCACTCAGCAATCTACGTTTCAATTATTCATTCTGCAAAGCTGTTGAAAATGATTGATGTACATCTCTGCCACGACGAGGGACAGGCCCTGAAACGTACACGAGAGGTTAACGCATTTTACAACCATTGTCGAATTGTGAGGACTATATACTTAATCCCCAATGGGGGCATCGAACATGGGGGCCCCATGGGCCACAAAATATTGTTTTTTTTTCATGGTTCACCTGTGTAGGCAGCTTGGTTGGAAGCGCTACCGTCCCACCCCTGTCCTACGTATGACCAAAACTAGAGTAAAGATCCTCAGGAAATGATTCCCAGGATCCCCGTTTAAAGGCACTTGCGCATGAGCCTGAATTGCAAAGCCCGACCTGTCGATTCGTAATCAGGGAAGCGCCAGATGGCATTAGCCTCAGGAGGTTGCGTACAAAAAGAAACTCGTGAATTCCCATGCGCAGGGCACAGCACTCTAAATAATCCAAAGTTTGCCCCTGGGAAGAATGTCAAGAGCGCCGCTTTGGCTGCACTTCATATAAGTACCTCTTCCTGCTGCTATAGCTGCTGCTGCTGCTGCTGCTGCTGTTGCTGCCGCCATCTTTTGCCGCCTGCAGCTGAGTCTCCGTCCCGTCGGGATCGCTGTCCGTCCCTCGAAACGCCGGATCTGCAAAGAACATACCAGAATCGCAGAAGCCTTGAGCCGGTTGCAGAGGCAAGAAATTCGAGTAACAACATAAAACATGGCTGCAGTCGTCAAGTTAATCCTGGCTGTAGAAAAATAACTATTTGGAATGGCGGCAGCAGCAGCAGCTACTATAAAACATGTCTGAGCCAATGTACACTCGAACGCACCGATTTTGAAAGAACTAGCTGGCTCTTCATCGTATCCTACCCGGCTGGCTTTTACCTTGAACATGGTCCTGAGCCTGTTCTGATGAACTCTACGGCCACTGAGGTACATATGCATACACCAGTAACTACTTAGCAGGCGTATACCTATGTATATAGGTAAATATATATGCATATATATATATAGATATGTATACACATATTACATGCATACCAGGTGCAAAATAGACGTAGTGATGAAAATGTGAAGGAACCGTAGCGGCCCATTATGCAGTCCTTGTCGGATCGCAAGCCAAGTTGCAGATCGAATTCCCGCAGCGAACCTCCCAATGGCATTGCTTCAAGAATAGAGCACGAATCGGCACTCGAGTTGCAGCCGGCCCTCAACATGGTTTCCTTTCTCATGTTTTCCTGTTGCTACTGCTGCGGCACTGCTCACATCAGCGGACTTGCTGCGACCGCGCGACATTCTCTAGGAGCTTCTCCACTGTCAGGTCTGTGTTCAAACCTTTGCAGCATGGTTGGTGCCATGGAAGCAAAAAGTGCTCTTTGGAGTCATTCCCTATATGCAGGCAGTAGGGCCGGGGCGGCCAGCATCATGAGCATCAGCTGCACTTGGCTTTCAGGGTCAGGGCCGGGGCGGCCCGCATCATGAGCATCAGCTGCACTTGGCTTTCAGGGTCAGAGCCAGGGCGGCCAGCATCATGAGCATCA